TACATACTTTGACCAACAGTTCGTCTATCCTGATTAAGATTCAATATCAAATTCATTTGTTCGCATCACACAATCAATTTTGACATAAGCCCCCACCAAACACATGCTCGATTCCGAGACCCATTTCACACATGAACAGCAGATGAACAAAAGTCTCCATGAACAGTAACTTGAACAGATCTTTGATTCCAAAATGCCAAAACACCAATAATCTTCAATATATGTGCAGAAAATCACCAAATCAAGAACCGATTCTTCAAAAATCAATAGATCTTCAAAGACCCGCTCTGATACCACTTGTTAGGATTAAAACCCTAACTGAGATTTGATGAACAAGATGCGGAAAATAAGAACAAACACAAATATGAAGATTATGTCGAATGATCACTCGATTTATTGAATTGTGTTACACTTAAGAAATAAGAATCTAACTCTACAAGAAACCTCACAACATGGCGGCTACATTTTGCCTCACTCTCTTAACCCTAATAATGAATAATACATGACTATTTATAGGGAAAAGAAAAGTCTTGGGCTTTTAACCTACAATTCACCAAAGGGTCCCATTGCCATCATCCATGGAGTGCTTTGAAACCCTACAATAAATACGAAGTGAATCCCCTTATATTGTGATAAGTTTGAGATGAGCTCCATGGTTTCGATTAACTTTTTCCTTGGTTTAAATATAAGAAAAATTCAAGAGGGAATATTTATCAACCAGGAGGCTTATATAAAGACCTTGCTTGCAAAGTTTGCAAAGGTAGGAGATTTGAAGGTGAAGGTTCCAATGGCATTCGGAACAAAGCTAACATCGTCTTTAGACAAACCATCAGCTAATATGACTCTCTATCGACAATTGATAGGTTCATTGATGTATCTAACTACTAGTCGTCCAGATATTATCTTTTCTGTTTACTATTGTGCCAGGTTTCAAGAAAATCCTCGCAAACCCCACATGACTACTGTGAAGAATATCTTCAGATATCTTAAACGAACCTCCTCACTCAGAATTTGGTACCCATCCAATTTGGGGTTCTTTGTGCAAGCACTCTCAAACGCTTATCTTGGTGGATGCGGTCTGGATCAGAAAATCACAACTGTGGGATGTCAATTTCTTGATGGCAAACTCGTAAGTTAGCAATCGAAAAGGCAAACATGTGTCTCCCTATCTACCACTAAAGCTGAGTATATTGCAGTCGCCTCATGCACTTCACAAGTCATTTGAATCGAAGGTCAGCTAAGGGACTATGGGATAAATAGGAAGTGAATCCCATTACACTTCGATAAGTTTGAGTTGAGCTCCATGGGTACGATAAACTTTTTCCTTGGTTTTGAATATAAGATAGAGTCAAGAGGGGATATTTATCAACCAGGAAGCTTATACAAAGACCTTACTTGCAAAGTTTGGAATAGTAGGAGATTCGAAGATGAAGTTTCCAATAAGCTAACACCGTCTTTGGACAAACTAGCAGCTAATATGACTCGCTATCGACAAATGATAGGTTCATTGATGTGTCTAACCACTAGTCGTCCAGACATTATGTTTTCTTTTTTCTATTGTGACAGGTTTCAAGCAAATCGTCGCGAACCCCACATGACTGTTGTGAAGAATGTATTCAGATATCTTAAACGAACCTCCTTGCTTGGAATTTGGTACCTATCCAACTCAGGTTTCTTTGTGCAAGCATTCTCAGACGCTGATCTTATTGGATGCGTTCTGGATTAGAAAATAACAACTGGGGGATGTCAATTTCTTGATGTCAAACTCGTAAGTTAGCAATCAAAAAATCAAACATGTGTCTCCTGTATCTACCGTTGAAGTTGGGTATATTGTAGCTGCCTCATGCACCTCACAATTCATTTAGACCCAAGGTCAGCTAAGGGACTATGGGATAAATATGAAGTGAATCCCCTTGTACTATGATAAGTTTGAGATAAGCTCCAGGGGTCTGATTAACTTTTTCCTTTGTTTGAATATAAGACAGAGTCAAGAGGGAATATTTATCAACCGGGAGGCTTATAGAAAGATCTTACTTGCAAAGTTTGGAATGCTAGGAGATTCGAAGGTGAAGGTTCTAATGGCATTTGGAATGAAGCTAACGCCATCTTTTGACAAACCAGCAGCTAATATGACTCTCTATCGAAAAATGATAGGTTCATTGATGTATCTAACCACTAGTCGTCCAGACATTATGTTTTCTGTTTGCTATTATGCCAGGTTTCAAGCAAATCCTCACGAACCCCACATGACTGTTGTGAAGAATGTCTTCAGATATCTTAAATAAACCTCCTCTCTCAGAATCTGGTACCCATCCAACTCGGGGTTCTTTGTGAAAGCATTCTCGGACACTGATCTTAGTGGATGCACTCTGGATCAGAAAATTACAACTGTGGGATGTCAATTTCTTGATGGAAAACTCGTAAGTTGGCAATCAAAAAAGTAAACATATGTCTCCCTATCTACCGCTGAAGTTGAGTATATTGCAGCCGCCTTATGCACCTCACAAGTGATTTGGATCCAAGGTCAGTTAAGGGACTATGGGATAAATATGAAGCGAATCCCCTTATACTATGATTTTAAAAGTGCAAGTAGCATTTTCCACAACCCAGTATAGCACTCCAAGACTAAACATATTGCACTGAGGTATCATTTGATTAAAAATCACGTGGAAGATGGCAATGTTGAATTCACTTTGTGAGATCTGCTGATCAACTCGCTGATATCTTTACAAAGGCCTTACCTGAGCAAACCTTCAATAGAATACTTCAAGCCTTAGGAATGATTGAAGTCGAATCCGATCCGAAACTACCTTTGTAGCTGGTAAGAATTCGTTGCAAATTGATCCGAACGCTCGTAGTGGTTCGGAGTCTACTATTTACGCTGAAAATTGGTCCGAATGCTCGTAGTGATTCGGAGTTAACTGTTCAACTGTGAATGGGTCCGAACGCTCAGAGCAACTTGCAGTCTACTATTCATTCGGAGGTTCAGAACGTCATGTATTCTTTGTATAGTATGTTTTCTTGTGCTTTCATTTTATTCTTTATTTTCTATTTTTATTTCTTTTTCGGAAAATCAAAAACTCAAATATATTTTGTTTCTTTTTGTTTATATTTTTTTGAAAAACACTTAAAATAATACAAAAAATATTTTCTATTTTCTTCTTTTTCAGAAAAATATTAAAACACCAAAAATAATAGATAATTGAGCAGGATTGAAGGAACATATCATTGTACTCTCAATTATGAATGACGGGACAGGTATAATTTCGAATCTTTGCACTAGTTAAGTGTCCCTAGAAGCATGTTGTTGCATGTTGATCAAAGCCTCTGAGACTCTATGTTTGAAGCCTTAATGGATTGATAATACCAATTGATTCTTCTCAATCATGCTAATATTCACATAAGTCATTGAGCTACTTTACTCTTCTCACATGAGTTAAGAGTTGACTGCTTAGTCATTCGTAATAGCAGAAGTACATTTATACCTTCGGAACCACCTTTAGCATTTCTTCATATTACATTTGCTTTCACATTCGTCATCCTTGAGACTCTCAGAAATTACCACTGACGTTTAAGGTTACACAACTTCTGTGTTCATGATCTTAAATTCTTTATCACCATGAATTTAGTGAAACTCAATATCCAAAACAAATTTCTGAATTGACGGTGAACAATTGATATGTTCTAGCTTTTCACCATCAAATTGATGCGAATCCACCTTCGTGGTTCGTACCTTGATATCTCATTATTTTGTTTTTGCGAGATCATAATGAAATGTTCTAGACCTGAGACATTTCTTCCCATAAGATCCGATTTTATTTTTCTTGAGATTTCTATATTATTTAGGGGTGTGCAAAAAACAATAAAACCGAAAAACCGAGCCGAACATGCCAATCTGAAACCAAAAAAACCGAAACCGAAAAAACCGAATATCAACGGGTTGGTTTTGGTTTTGATACTTAGGTATCCGCGAGTAACCGAACCGAACTGCTTGATATATATATATATATATATATATATATATATATATATATATATATATATATATATATATATATATATATATATATATATATATATATATATATTACTCATTTCCATTAAGCTGTTTGTCATATCCCAAACAAAAATCATGATTGACAATCCTAGTTTTCTTCTACATTATGTTCTCTTGTATTTTTTAGTTTTATATTTATTATATCAATTATAATGTATGTTATTTGAAATTCATTATGTTTTATAACTTTTGGACTTACTAATTTTCTGAAAGAAATCGTTGGAATGGAGTTTATACTTTTGATTGTATTTTATTTTTTATATTTAGCTGGTACCCATAAACCGAACCGTGCTTACCCGCCTTTACACGGTTCAATTCGGTTAGTTTTTTTTTCAATTCGGTTCGGTTTTGGTTAATGCACATGAGGTAGCCGCCCCGTGGTGACGGTTCACAATTTTATTACTATTCGCACCGAACCGTCCTGTTAACACCTCTGATATTATCCAAGCACTCAAATATTTCAAAAGCATACTTGTTTTTATGGTTACACTGGTCAGACAAGTACTTCTTCTGAACGTTCGGACTTATGTTGAGTATCAGAGTTTGATTGAAGATGAAGCCACCCTTAAGCCTAAATGAGAAGAAGCCTTTCACTGTTTCTCAAGAAACAGATGATCGTAATTCAACGGAATACCACACAGACACTTTTGAGTCTCTCTTGACTTCGAAGGAAGAGATCGTTGCCCGGGATCCAACTATTGCGGGTCTTTATTGACATCACTAGAATCCCTTAGATAACTTGCTTTATTTCTTTATCTTTGGCACACTCTTGCACGAAGATCCTTGTGATTTTCAAAAAGTCTGGTTCATAGTTCTAATGATTACTTTCAAATTTGGAGAACAGGAATTGGTGAACTACTATGAAAGTGTAAACTGAAACAGCATATTTTAAGGGATAAGATTGCGATATTGGCGCGTGAAGATTTCAAACTTAGCTTGACACATGCCAACCTGTCACGCCTTTTCAGGTGCTTTTTCAGTGATTATGGAGCGTCAAACGCCAGTTTTCTCTCACCACTAATTACATATATAAGTAAATTCAAAGAGTCATTCTCATTCACCACTTTCAAAGAATTTCGCCTTCTTGCGCAAGAAAACCCTTTTCTCTCACTACTATTCATCATCTTCTCCATTGATCTCCATGCCTGGTTAATCAGAAACTCCATATGCCGCTGATCAGAGCGCTTCATCATGGCTACTGGGCATCAATGCTAACCATAATCTTATCTTGGACCTTGATCCACCCAAGTATGATGCTTTTCTCCAAACATTGATTGAATGCCTCAGATACTCTCCTTTGGCTACTACACTATCGAAGACAGAGAATGTTCATTTGGCTCTTCTATCCAAAGCTTACTCTACTACTCGTTATGAAGAAAGTGGTGTTGTTATTAATTTCGAGCATGGTAATCAACAAACATCCATCACCAAGTCCAGATTTAGACGATTAATGGGGTTTCCCTCTGCTAGGGATTTGGTCGATCCTGAATCAATATCTTCTTCTGCCATTCTGGAGATGTTTTACCAGATGGGCTACAACAACTATCTTGCGATTCTCTCCATGTTCAAGAAGCCCAACCTTCCTCCTATATGGAATGGGTTGTTTACCCTAATTTTCAAAAGCTAGCCTTTTCTTACTATTCTCTATGGTGTTTACTCTGGGATCAATCTAGATTATGGTTCAGTCCTTTGGACTCAACTTGTTCAAAGTATTGTTTCTGTAACAAGGCACTCAAAGATATCTTGTGCTCGTTTTTGAGCTATCATCATATAGAGGGTAATTGATCGTCACAACATTCCGGTGATAGAGGGTTCGGTGATTGCAACAATTCCAATTTTCCATACTTCCAATGTCATTGTGTCTGACAGTTCAAGGTTCACCTTCATCGGATCTATTCTAGAGTCAATGCTTCGCAATGTTCCAGTAGACAATGAAGTTATCAAGCCATATCACAAACAACCAACATATGGTCCTCGTCGACTAACAGCTGAGATGCGAAAGGCCTTAGAAGAGGCTGACAAGCCAAAGAAAGGGGTAAACGCAAAGCGAAGGTTGGACCCTCTGAGCCTGCTCACACTCCAACAAAAAAAGTCAAGCGAATCGTCGTAAGCCTAAGTCTCCTACACTAGATAATGAGGAGGATTCGGAGTCACACACCATCTATGATATTCGCATACCTGAGCAAGTCCAGTGCAAGACTGAAGACACAGTTGCGACTTCGCAACCCATGGTTTCAGAGCCATCAACAACCAATCCTACGGTAACTTTTTCCATGCCAACTTCTATTCCCATAACAGATGAATTTTTCCAGGATTTTTCTCATCCTTCTCCTACTACTACTACTACACCTATCACCATAGCTCCCTTTCTGAATGTTTATGTGGGAGTTTTGTAATTCCAGGTGTCCGCTGCACAATTTGTTCCTTTCTTCACAGACTCAAGAGTAACTACAACAACAACCACTAATACATAATTGGTCACTGTCAACCTATCTAATACAGGGGAAAGAATTTCTGGTTTTACTTACGGTGATGATTTCACTCCCATCTCACCTCTTCGCCATGATGATCCGGATACCATGTACGGTGATGATCAGGATGTTTTTGAAGACTTTCACTACATCACTTTCAATGTCCAACAGGCTAGTGATGATGAAGATGCTCCGATGACGAATGGGCAATTTAAAGCTCTAAATGATAAGTTAGATACTCTCCTTGAGTCTTCCAAATCTTCATCTAGTACTGAATACTCTTACGAATATGTCAAAGCTCTAATTGAACCTTTCATAAAGGAGCATTCCACAAGTCTTGATGCATTCACAAAAGTCGTGGTAAATTCCGAGAAGACAGTTTGTGATATGACCAAAAAAGTCGATAAACTACTTTCTGATGTTAAACTATTAATGGAATAATTCAAAACTTCTTCGAAACGCAATACATCCTCTACGAACAAGGTAATTACAAACCTTGGTACAACATTCTCAAATGATAAAGAAGCTCTTTCCAAGGTTCGCTCTGGCATCCAGGCTGATAATGCAGAGCTACAAACGTCGATCACTTCAAAGATTGAAAACCTTCAAGCAAATCTTGCTAGTGAGAATGCTCTCATGGATAATCTTGCCATCAAAATAGAAAAGGAGAAATTTGTTTCTTCCCGTCTCTCTCATGCCAACAAAGATATTGAAGACTCAAAGTTTGAAAAAGCTGTAATCAAGAGGTGTGTTGCTCATGTCAATGTTCACCTCCATAATCTCATCGAGACTTATGATTCCCTTCCCACAGTCTCTGTTCATCAGCATCTTGCTGAGAATTGAAGCCCTTCTTCTCCATGATTGACCGACCTAAGGGTGTTTCTTAATCTTCTATTCCAAAACAAGGAGGAGAACTGAGGAAAACTTATTGTGGTGGCAAAGCAACTGATGGTGGTGATGATCACGAACAAAACCCAAAGTCTAATGATCTAAAGGACAATGTAGCTTCGACATCAAGAGTAAAAGAGAAATTGGTTAATGATAGTGATGAGGAAGTAGAAGATGAAAATGAAAAGTCAAGATGCAAGGCTCGTCGCCCAGAAGTTGAAAAAAATCATCGAATTGTCCAGGAAGCCGAAGAAAAAGAAAAAGAAAACCCATGAAGCCCAAGTCACTCTGGAAACTCAAAAGCTTCTTTTTTCCTTCCTAGTCTACAGAGTGTATCTTGAATGAAGGAATCAATAATCCAAGTGTTTACTGGCGAGAGCTAGTTACTTCGTTTGAATTCGAAAACACTTTGGATTCACAACTTGATTTTCCCATGACTTCGAAGGTGTTCTTGTTTTGCATTTTGGACAGAGCTGAGAATGCTCTTGAGTCTGATAACAATGTCAATTTGTTGCTTATCTCGTTTTATCTCAAGTACATGAAGCCACAGTACAAAACATGGAGTTCAAAGAAAATAACTGTTGTGAAGGTTTATGGACCCATTGAAAACAAAAGCTTCCTGAATGCTCATTTCAAGGTTACACATGGAGCTGTGAGTTCAGTGTTTGAATTTACACTCACTGATTTTCCGTGTTTGAACCCATTTGATTGGATTTCTCTACTGCTTCTCTTGCTAAAGGATGAAAACAAATTCGAACCACTTGTGGCGTATCTCAAAAGGTTGTTGGTTAGTTACATCCAAGAAATTAGGAAGATGGATGTGGGAATCGTGAATGTCCTTCGCAAGAGACCTACAGTGTTTCCTAAGGAGCCTCTGAAAGATCTTAACAAGATGAAACTGGGAAGTATACGAAAGGATGATTGGAGTGTGGCATTTCAAATATGAGAAAGAGTTGATGATGTTTTCATAGAGTTTGCTTCTTTCTACCTGACAAGTATTTATACTCCACCCCATGCCTGGAATACATCTTGGAGTTGATAAATCAGTGCAAAGACAACAGTTTTGGGGATAAGAAATGTTTCGCAGATATGATTAACTGGTACGTATTGGTTCGCAAAACTCTGCTAGGGATAATGCCAAAACTTTTCGTTGTTCAAAAACACCAACAAAATTGAAGAATTTGCCTTCCTTATTAACACAAAGGGGGAGATTGTTGGGATGTTTAGTATTGTGTCAATTATGTTTTGTACTATATTAGCCTATTTTGTAATGGGTTGGACTTGTCCGCCCAGTCTTTAATGTTTTTAGGGTTAAACTATATATAGTGTATGCATGCACCGTATTAGGGTATCGATTGTATTTTGACCTACTTGCCTTTACAGTAGAAGTTCTTCATCGAGCTCTTCTAACGCATTGGTTTTTAATCATTCAACACAACTTTGATCTTTGCATTCATTGTTTGATTTACTTTTTTGTTTAGAATCTATCGATCAACTCATAATTATTCTAACAACGTACATGCCCTTGCACAGTGCTCAATTCTGGGTTCCAGCCTATAAATAGCTCACTTATGCTCCTTCCATTCGATACATCTCCAAATCTCTCTCTCTCTCTCTCTCTCTCTCTCTCTCTATTTCACTCCATTTTGGTTGGAATTTTCTTAGATTTTAAGGTATTTTGGCAAGTTCTGAGGTCCCTAGGAGCTTGAAGTCTAGTAGCTATCAGCCCAAAGTTTCGTTAGTGTAATTTCTGGACTTTTGTCTAGAGAATCTGTGTAAGTTAAATTACACTCATTTTATTTTAGTGTAATTTATTTTTAAATTCACAGTCGTTATTATGAATTTATAAATAAGAACTATCAGTAATTATAAATTATAATACTTACTGGTCTATTTACGGGAGAGGTGTCTAGAATGATCATGTTGGTTTGGTTGTTGGATTTCAAAAAGACTATACATTGAAATGATCTTGTCTCCCAATTGTCCTACCTGGTGGATCCATATTTGATAGAACTATCAGTATTCATTGGAATGATTGATAGGTATAGACTCTTTTTCAGTCATGTAGACTATCAGACTAAGACTAAGTGATATTGATACTAGGTTACATCAAAGGAAAAGTCAGTTCCTAGAAGTGAAGCGTTGTCCGAGTTTCAAGTCATCACTTTAACAAGTGAGTGCATATTTACTTTCATCTTACACATAGATATGAAGTATTTAAGATAATTACATGCTATATGTGCCTATTATTTGTGTTCCTGATATCTATGCAAGATGAATGAATTATACATGTTCTACTTGATTTAAACTATATATGTATTTTTATACCTATAAATATATTAGGTAGAGATGGGTAGATGAAAGATGATATAAATGATGAGAGATGAAAGATGTAATAGAAGATGAGAGGCCTTGACTTTAAAGATGATCTAGTCATCTAGTGGAGTATAGATGACAACCACGGACTATTCTAGATAGTCTAGTGGAACGCTACCAAGCTCGCAACCTGTAGGTGTTTTTGAACTAAGTGTTCAATGGGTGTACTACATCCCCTCCCCCCCCCCCACACACACACACACATACACATACACACACATGATTGCCTTACTGGCATATATTGCTAAGGAATACCTTGGGCATTATTGTCTATCTTAAAGATGATACTTAGGATAGCTCCCTCAAATAAGATGCCTTAGGGATAGAAAGTGAGGATAACGAAAATAGAAAATAGGGGTTGAATGATTTGATGAAAATATATATAATTAAAAGAAATTAATTATTGTGGGCTGAAACCCCTATGTGCTTACCAGGCTCCCAACCCTGACCCACTCAGTTTCTTGTATTACAGGTAGTGGTACGAGGGCATAGGTGTGATGATCAAAGGAGAGATTTATGGATTATAGGCCAGTAGAATAATAGATGTTTGTTAGACCTGTATTATTTTCGTTAATATCTATGTACTGTATTGATGATCACATCCCAAAGTTTTTAATATAAATAAAATACATTTCTTCATAAATGCTTTGATAATATTATTATCATGTTTTTGGGAACAAATTTTGCAGTATTATTCTTTAAAAATGATACTCTGATTTTAAATAAGCATAAATAAATATGACTTTTCTGGCCATGAAACTTAGGAATGTCACAAAAAACAATCTAAACGAGAATCAAAGATCTCGTTAATAGGATTCCTTCAATATAAAGAAAGTTAAGAACGAACATCATGTTGGATTAGGTGTCTAAGCCCATAACTATAGTTGGTGTGTACATGACCCAAGAGTAGCATGGTCCATTTGGGTTGCATATCACTAGGACAATTTGATAGGATGGACTTTTGAGAAGAGCTTATTTATGATTTTTTTAATATATTATAAGTTCTAATATATTAACATGAAATCATATTATTATTTAATTAGTATTGATCAATAATTAATTTGGAATTAATTTTGTGATCAAAAGAGACTAATTAAATATAAGGGGATTGATTTGGTAAATCATTTGTTTTTATGGTGTGGGCCAATGATCCATGATTCTTTAGGTTGGGCTAAACCAATGTTACAACCCATGGATGATCCCTGGGGTTTAAACCCATGGAGCCTGAGGAATATGGAAGGTCATGCACATTAGGGTTTACATGGTGTAACCCTAATCTTGCCACACTATATAAGAAGCCCCTTAGCATCCAAAATTGGCCACTTGAGACACTAGTGATCCTTGGAGTTCCATGAGCCAATTTTTGTTGCAAGAATATTTCTCAAAAGTCATCCTTTATCCAAAAGTGTGTTCTGATTCCATTTGAGGTGCAACACTTGGGGCACTAAGTTCTTAAGGCCAAACACAACAATTTCTACAAGCCACAACCAAGAGGTAAGTCTATAACTCAATTCTATATTGTTTATATCATTTTGTATGATAATTGTAGGCTTAATGCTTTGGAAACAATATTGCATGTATAATTAGAGAAAACATATATCCAAAGCATTTAGGGTTGTATGTGCACCATATAATGTTGTAGTATACTAAAAATCATCAGTGGTATCAGAGCCTAGGAGTTTTTCCATTATACTTGATGTTTTATTTGTTTTCAAAATGAAAAAATTGAATTTTCTGCCTTCTGCCCAGTAAACTCACCGAGTCCACTGGGTGACTCATCCAGTCCCATCATAAAATGGCCAACTCGATGAATCCAGTTCATGTACTTGCCGAGTTGGTGCTCCAGTGGATAGATTTTCGACTTTTGGCCAGAAGTTGGATTAGGATCATTACCCCAAACTGTTTTTTGAACCATGAAATGTGTTATTTCATAAGGTAGTGATCATGCTTGTCCAATTAAAAGATAATTGTCATAGTTTCAAGATTTGTATCAGTTTATATGATAGACTAATTTTTTGTAAATAATTGATGTGAATTATCTTGACTTATGAGTTTAATCTAGATCATAGAAAAAATATTTGATTATTGTGTTATTGAAATAATTGATCTAAATGCCTTTTATGAATTCCATAACTTGTCTTCAAGTGATGGATAATGAAAAGTTTTTCATAAATGTTTTTTTATGAACTCCATAACTTGTCCTCAAGTTATGGAATTTCAAGAGTCTCATTTTAAAAGTCATCTTAAATGGTTTTAAGGTCTCCCATAACTTTTCCTCAAGTTATGGAACTTGAAATGTTTTTCATAAAAATCTCATTAAACTCATAAGTTAGAGAAATGAAAAGTTTTTACAAGTTTCAAAACTTGCCTTTAGTTTTTGGAATTTGTAAAGTCTTACTTTTGAATACTTTAGTTCCAAAACCTAGAGTTTTAAAAGTTAAAATTCTACCCTTATACTTTATAATATTATAATTTAATAATTATATATATATATATATATATATATATATATATAAGACAAGTCAGTCTTACCGTTAGTAGGCCTCATTCATGAAGTTGGTCTATAAGAGGGGGGGGGGGGGTATAAGGTTACTGCCTATAAACTGGCAGTTTAATGGATGCCCACTCTCACCCACTGCTTCCTTGACTGGTGGAAGGTCCTTAGCCGAACGGGTAGGATAGGACATTAATTATCATTATAAGTGTAATGATAATTATAAAGTAACTAAACTTTTATTAAATTCTCAATCTTAGTTACTTTAGAAAAAATGTGAATTTTGGTGTTAACCCATGAAATTGCACTTTGCACCTTGTTAAGTCGTTAGTGGAGCATGTGTGGTTAACCGGCACACTAACATGGGACTAAGAGTGCACGGCAATGGGTAGCTTGATGTTAATCATAGATCAATGGAGTGTGTGTGGTTAACCGGCACATTGATTAGGTGGTTGTAGCATTGGGTGTACCAAGCTAATTTGCATGGTTATTTACACCTTGTTTGTGATCCTTGGCATCCGAGTCACAAACTTAAAGGGCACAATCGAGATTTAAACATGTCATTGAAAATTTCAATGAATCTCAAAGGATCTAGGAATTTCAATCCATTTAAAACTTAATAATCAATTTCGTTTTTCATGGAGGAAATTGGTAATTCGTCATTTACCTACCTTCAAGTATTTTGCAATTGGATTACGGAAACCCTCTTCCAAATTGTAAAAATATTGTGTTAGGTCCTAGCCTTAGTATTTCATTTGGTTGTTATATTAAGGACTTAAATCAACTAACTTGAATTTCTCCCATTGTAGATGTATAGTTCAGACAACTATGGTATTCCCAAATCTTTTGGAATAAGATTTCCTCTTGAAGATGATATCCTACGTGGCGATCAAGGTGAAAGATTAATCCCTTTGTCACGCATTAGTGGAAATGGAAATCATACTTCACTTCTTCCACCTCCTCCAGTTATTCTCCATGACCCACAAGTTCGAAGACTTGAAAACTTCAAGGTCACTCAAGCCCTATTGGCAATGAAACATCAATATGGAAGGTTTGTGTGTACTCACGTCTTGGAG